ACCAAAGGCCGCCGTGCTCAGCCCCTCTCCTGCGGGCGCACCGAGGTCCCCAGCCTGATGCAGGCACTTGAGAGATGCCTGCCTCTGCACAGGCATCACGGCTGCCCCTCGCTGCTCTGTGGGCAGCACTGACCCCTGCACCGACCCGGTTTCGGCTTTGCACCTACCCCAGCACCACGTCTGGGTGCATTTTTGAGGGAAATCGGGCTTCCCCGCCAGGTTGGCTGGGAGAGACAGATCTGGGGAGGACAGTGCAGGCCAGTGATGTAGCGTGGTGAGATGTTGCGCCTCTGGAGCCCTGCTTCCCTGGCCAGGGGATGGGGAGGCTGCCAGCTAAGCAAAAAACCTGACATTTTTGGATAGCCCAAGAGTAGCTGATTTCCCTCGGTGACAGAGCAATACGACTTCAGTGGGTCCCTCTGCTCTCCAGTTACTTTACATTTGCAGTCCGTGCCCCATTGCTCTGCCGCCCAAGCACCGAGGCGAGACCTGCCTCCATCCCCACATCTCCTTCACTTCTCATCTCTGTGCATCAATCCAGCAGTACCACGAGAAGCCTCTCGTTACAGAGACCAAGACGAAATCACAATATGAGAAATACTGGGTCTGAAAACTAAAAAAAAAAAAGACTTAAACTAAACACAATCAGTTGTCAAACTGACAACTATTGTCTTGGCTGGCATCATCTCTAAAGCTGCCTGTACTCAGCGCCGGCAGTGCAAAGCGGCACTTGTGTTCATGGGATCCCTCTGTGCCACGGCACTCCAACACAGTGCAGCACATTTCACAAATCCTGTCCTTAACGGACGGAGAAGTTATTCTTTCCTAAAGAAATTATGGATTTCTGACTTATATAAATAAGTAGACAAACACTTATTAAAAGGTTGCACTTATTAATCTGAGTGTTAGTAATAATTAAATTAATAATTAATTAATAATTAAAGTAAGTCATTCATCTTTAACTGTTTTAGCATAGCGTCCTGTTTAATGTTCTAATTCAATATTTTTAAAGCAAGTCAAGAGACTAAACACTTTTCAGGAGAAAGGACATCAAAGGGTGACATTTGTGTGTTTAAGAAGAAGTTGTTTTCAGTATCTTATTTTTATTCATGCTTCTGGCAAAATAAATAAAAAGTCAGGCCAAAACTCAGTCACTTTTGACTCCACTTAAGCCGAGGAACCGGTTTCAAGTTGAGTCCTGCTGACCTTGCCCGAAAATTTTTCATTTGGAGATTTGTGGACACAAAGCAGCGGAGTCACAACTCCCTGTGTCCTTTCACTCGCTTCAAGCATCAAGAAGAAGCAGTTTTATTTTTAAACAAGCCGGGCCATAGAAACGTCCTTCTGAATTTCTAAACTGTAAGCACGTGAAGAGCCATTGCCAGCAAGCGCGATGCTCAGGGCATTTATTGTGCTTAACGCACAACCACCTGAACTCGCTTTAATCTGCTGTGGTTAATGGTAATAGCTGGGATTGTTCTACTTGCTATTTGTTTATTTACACCTCTCATAGCTGTAAGGAAAAAACATTCTCCATTTTCTAAATATGTATTGCTACTCAAAATTAATTTTACTGTCATGCAACAGCTCTAGAGCATGGGTCAAATTTGAGCTGTGGAGGCCTGGGGAAGCCAGGGCAGAACATGGCCCAGCCTCTTGTACTGCTTTTAAAAAGCAATTTCCCTTTGCAAACAGAGCTGAAATCAACCTGATCCTTTTTTTTTTATTATTATTATTCCACAAAACAGAACAATCTACTCACAAAAAGAAATGAACAGTTCAGGTTTCAAGGACTTTTGAACTAGGACTCTGGGATACAACAGAAACGAGAACAGGGGCTGCAGAGCTCCACCGTCCCTTCTGAAGAGTCGGGCACTTGAGCTGAGCCTTTGCCTCGTTACATGTCACCACAGGTTATAAACGAGAGACAAACACGACTTCTGTCCCACTGGATCGTTCGTTACACATTAACAAAAAAAATAGAAAAATAAAAAAAAAAAAAAGTTAAAAACCCAGTCCTCCCATCAGGGCATAAAACAGAAGATATGAAAAACAAAAATGAACGTTAGTTTAGTTATAAATGTGCTTGTTAGGTGTGTTAAATTAATGGCCAAATCACCAACATTTTTTCACCCCAAATGAGCTGCAGTTCTTTTGGAAAACAAGAAACTTTCTCTTTACAAAGGCTAGATTCTCCTCTAAAACTGTCTCCTAAGAAGACACTATATTTCTACAAAGTATTTCTAACCTACACTCTATTCTAAGGAAGGAGGAAAAGGAGATTACGTAGACAGCACAAATTAACTCCTTAAGTATTAATGCATCTCCATTTTCAGCCTGAAGGAGTACATATCTTAAGGAGCTATGAAAAAAGAAAACAAAATAAATATAACTCAACAGTCCTAGCAATTTATAATGCATATACAATTGTTCACCTGCGTCCTTTTGATTCTCTATATGAAAGAGAGAAAGCAACAAGGAGAGAAAAGAGAGAAACAAGAACAGATATGCAGGATTAATGAGCAAGTGGACCGCACAGCCCCCCAGTTATGCGTGATATATGACATTTGAAAAGAAGAAAAGTCGCCCCGTCTCGCCCCCCGCCCCCCCCAAAGCATGGGGTTACCAAAAGAAGCTCCTTTCACGGAGGTGAAAGAAAATGCTGCACAAATAGAAAACCAGAGAGGGTGAGCTCTGAGGACACAGAGGGGACCTCCAGGTGACAGCAGGGCTGGGATGTCCCCTCCAGAGCTCGGTGCAAAGGAGTAAGTAAAAAAATCGAGGAGGAGAGCAAGTCAAGTGCATCCTTCCGCTCGAGAGCCAACAGACAGGAGGCATGTAAGATCTGATGTACAGAGAAAGGACAGCCTTATACGATCTTATACACAGGATTGGGTAAAGATCTTATACGCAGGCAAAGGGATGGCTTTTTCCAAGTGTCCTTTATCTGACCTCTAGCTCACTTCTCCCCGATGTAGCTGCTACCTTTTGATTGTGTACCAGTGACAAGCCCTTTACAAATTGGGGTTACACAGAAGCAAAGTAAAAATGCATTCAGGTCACGGACATAAAGAAGAACTGAAAAAACTTACAGACGATCTGAGTTTATCACAAACAGATGGGTTAATTGTCTAACCTGGTTTAGGCTGATAAAAAGTGACTGACTGGACTTCTCACACTGGGTTTCACAGACAGAAGCAACAGACAAGCCAATGCTAAAAGACTTGAAGCAAGGAGAGTGAGTTGGTTTGGATCTGGACTTTCTTGAGGTAATGAAAACAGAAAGAGCGAGGACAGCATGGAGAGGAGGGTGGTAGGTACTCACGAATGGTTAAATCCATCACTTGAGAGGCCAAGCAGAAGACAGGATGCTCATACATTTCTCTCTTTTTCCCTATAAAAGAGGATTTGGGCATGCAAGAGGCTTAGGTCAGAGGTAAAGAGGTTATAGGCTATAGGTCAGAGGAAAACTTTATATTAGGTTAAAAGGAAAGTAGCCGTAGAGTATTTTGGGATACACACAGGATAAAAGGAAATTAAAAAAAAAAGAAAATAAAGGAGGGTTAAAATTGGAGATCTACTGGATTAACCATTCAGCATGCCCATGAGTCACAAGAGAGGCTGTGACCATGACTCTAGAGGTTTGCTCTGAACTGTTTGCAAGAATATAATGATCAAAACATCATGAATAGAGGGAAATAGAATTTCATTGGTTTAAGGCTCCGAGATACTAAGGATTTCAGCCTTCAGTATCTAAGGCTTTCACAGGTATTTCTTCATAAGCATAGCCTCAAGCACTGCTGCCACTGATTTGGTTCTGCGTCTCGGACAAAACTTTTTCAAACATGTGGCTATTCAAATGTCAGCTTTCAAAAGCAAGATTTCAAAGCCATGTATGGCGCACAGAAACGCATCTCACCGAGGTAAACTTGTTATTTTCTTTTCAAAGGAAGTATTTGAACATATAGTAGACTATGCTCATGAGAGAAAACCTGATGCATGCAGCTGGCGGATGTTGGGTTGTTCGAATTAACAATCCCAGCATGCTTGGAAATTGGTGTTACAACCACTTTTATAGAGATAGTATCAAAAAGTGGCTGTGGCCAATCACGGATAAAGGAGGAGAAAAGCAGAAGAGAGCAGGTAGTGTGGAATGAACTATTTCTCTGAAAAGGTAGCTGGAAAAAAATAGGTTTGTTGCTTCAAAGTATTCCCAGACCTAAAAGTCACAGTGCAAAAAAGAGGGCAGATAATTAACACAACCAAGAAGAATTGAGGCACAAAAGGAAAAGTACACACTATCTGTTCTACTTTGGAAATGAATGCATTTTTACTTACAGATCATAAAGTTTGTTTTTGCATAGATTTATCTGAAAGAAGAGAGCAAATCTTACCAACGAGTTAGTGATATTTACACAGAGAACCTAAGGGAGCCAGCCCTGGGTAGAAGCATCCATCAACAGAAAAGCTGCTTTTGATTCTCAGTCCTTCTCCATCCTCGTCAAGTATATTTAAACATTGCATTTTACAGAATACACCAATTAAAATATCCTGTGAAGCTGAGTACTTCAATAAATTGCCTGATAATACAGTGCTTATGAAACCTTCGTTCCTTCTCTATTTTTGTCACTCATTACCAAGTCAAGAGTTGATAAACATCCTTTTAGTGCCCAATTCTTAAGTGTTTCTCACTGGATGCATAACAATGAATTCATTACCACTGGTACACAATTTGCATCGTTAGACAGGAAAAAAAAAATGGAAAAAGAGAGGACATGTCATGTACAGAACCTGGACAATTTGTCATATAATAACCCAATTTTTCATGTAAACAAGAACTAAGAACAAATCAGAAGGAGTTTTGGGGTTTTTTTTCTCCTCTCAATATTGTCCTAGAGGCATACAACGATAATCTCAGCTGTGGGAAAGCTTCACATCACACATGACAGAAATCCAAAGTCTAGAGCAGAACATACCATTCATCTGGAACATACAGGTTTAAGGAATTGGGAACTTGGATAAAGTTGGGTAGGAGTTTCAAGTTGAGGATAGCAGCCAACAAGGTACCAACATAAACTGATTAACATGTAAAGAATGACTGGATCGTAGAGCTTCAGCTAACACATAACCTCCAGCAAGCTTTAAAATGTCTTTTTGATGGCTACATGTGTCTCTGGTCACTGGTTATTATTCTCCCATAACTTAAAAGGTCAATAATATCAGCTATGCCAGATTTAGAGTGACAAGAAAGAAATCTGATGCAAGTATGGGATCACTGATCAATGACTGCTGTGCAAACTGCAAAGACAATGAAACACTCCCAGAAAAAAGACATTTTAAATTGGCTACAAATGATTAAGCATAGATAAAACAGTTTTTCAGCTTCTTATTTTTCATTTGTTTCCTGAACTCCACTGTCACAAGCAATTAGCTGCACTATACCTTCAGCTGCAAAGATGACATCCCAAGTATTTCTCAATTTGTTTTTTAAAATCACGACATGAGTCTGAATACTACACCACTGGCCAAATGCACTAACGATCAAAAAAAAAAAAAAAGATGCTACAGTTCCTTTTAACTGTTTCCTCTCTCTTTTCCAGAAAAAGAAACATTTTGCATAGCTTCCATTCTTAACTGCTTCCGAAGCCAACACCACAAAAATGATTCAGAATCACATCAGTTTTATTGACAAGCAAATAAATAGCAAATGAGCTTCTTTTAAATAGCTCCCAGCCACAGTTGCCACCTAGAAACATAACAAAATTGTAATTTCAGAAAGAAAAAGCCTTACCTTCAATTTTGGCATACTCTGATAGTCGAGTATAATTGACTAGAGCCGCTTGCTCCAAGCATTTACGGATGACTGTTTTTACCTCCTCTTGAGGGACCGGAGTAACTATGTCTTTCATCAGAACCTTGACACAAGAAAATCTGATTTGTTGTGGCATCGGGTACACAGAACTGCTTTTCTCCAAGCCCAGCACAGACATCCATTCCTACACTAGCGCAGCGCGGCTCTTGGGATATGTGTACAATATGTAGGATCCGCTACAAGGTCACCTTGGTCAGCTTGAGATGTGGGACCTACCCCTGCTGTATTATTCTCCTTCTGTATCTATACCCTATGGCGTGAAGTCCGTGCTTCTGATTTTTTAGGGCATGACATTAAGATCTATCACAACTTGCCCAGTGCCAGGCAATGTTATGTCCTTCCCAGGCTCTACTGATTGACTTGGGTTTAGGTCTGGGCTTGGCCATACTGCGGGTTAGTACAGGTGAGAGGGATGTTGGAGCAGCAGGAAGCCTGAAATAGGGATGGGGAAGATGACGGTGCGCAGGTTTCATACGTCTGGGGGAACAAGTCTGCCTCAAGACGGCAATTTCACCAGATAGTAGCCGGGCATTTCTTACAAGGGTCTGCGGTGTAGACGCTTGCCAGCGAGATCCTCCACCCTTACCTATCAACACAGACGCAGGCTGAGCTGCCTTTAGAGGCCAGGTGACACACCTGATTCCGAGCTGAAGCAGGAGAGACAACAACCCCACCTAACCCCCCACATTTCAATATTAACTATCATTAATTACATGTCCTATGCAAACCCAACAGTTCCTCAAGCTCTTCTAGATGGAAAGAGAGATGAATACAGGTAATTCTAACTACTCTCTGTTATTCTTATGCTTACCCTTTCCAGCAGCGATAGAGTAGCTTTTAGTGCACCTTCTGGACGGCCAAATGGAAAGCAGTACCTAGAAAAACCACGTCATGTTAACATCAGACCAGATGCATGTGAACAAGCCTTTCCAGAGCTATAAAGATGCTTTCCTAAATATGCCCAAGCAATTCTCTAGTCCCCCTGCCCAGAACGAGCAGTCTTTCTACAGTGTAACTTTCCAAAAGGGTTTGATGGTATGGATGCTAAGGCAGCAGAACAGAGTACAGGGTAGTAATAAGCTGATTGTTTTAGTAGTTTATTAAGTCTGAATCTCACCTGGAGTGTTTTTAGATCTCCTAAGAGAGAGTTAAATATCATCTTCTGGTAAAAATGAAAAAAAAAAAAAAAAAGCCCCTCTGGAAAGGACATTTACTTCCAGCCGGAGACCCGGTGATGCACCAGGCTGTAGGTAACCGGCTGAACCAGCCACCGTCCCTGGCGAGTGGCAGCTCCCAGGGGCTCCCGCAGGGACTCTGCGTGCGAATGCATGTCACCCATCTGTGTGTAAACGTGCACAACCTGCCCAGGAGCCAGCCAGTGTGCTGGGGGCAATTCCTCCCTTTTTGTGGGGGCAGTATCCATCCTTTCTATACTGTGACATCCCTGCAGAAAGCCCTGCCTGTCTGGATCCTAGGCAGAAGGGAAAATAAATGGGTAATAACTGAGCAGAGAGGAACAGAAATAAGAGGATAAGGGATTTTTTTTTTTGTGGTTAAATTTTAGAAAAAATCCACAGCATTACCACGCCTATGGGAGCAAGATGGTTTGAAATATCCTTTAAAGCTTATATATTTAAAATCACTCTCCAGCTACAAACATGCTATAGTGTGAGCTTCACTGCCCTGTGTAGGTCTGTGCCACTTGTGCAAAATTTCCGTATTCATTCAAAATCTGCCTTTAGACTCTGCTGCATATAGGAGAGTGTTGTGAGGACATCAGTCCTCTCGCATTCAGTCTGGGCTCTCTGCCTTTACCTAAAATGCGTGATCTGATTCTCCAGAAGCAAACGAAGCCGCTCCTTGATCTCTTCGAAACGCTCTTTCTCGTCTACGGTCACAGTTCCTATCCCGTCAGGCCTGGAGGAAGAAATGCCACGAATGACTCAGACTCCACCTCGCCACCCTGGTAACTCATCCCCGCAGCAGACAGCGTGCTGCCCTTTCGGAAAGGGACGTCACCGACTATGAGACCCGGGACAGAGGATGTGTCACGCTGAGACACGGGTGGTTGCGGCAGCACCACCACCGAGGTATCAAAAATAAACGAATCAAGAAATATCCTCTCTCAGAGGGATAATCTAGATGTGGAAACCCCACTCCCGCCCTTATTTTTCCTGTGATAGAGAAGTCGGGAAAAGCAGAATCGCCCCTAAATATAGGTGTATGACAGGGAGTGCAATGACAACTCTGGTTGCAGGATTGGGCCCATTGCTGGCAAAACAGGGACTGAATTTCTGCAGAAAAATTCAGCCGCTAATTTAACACAATTCACAGTATAAAAGAATATTGACAACAGACGTATATACAAAGAGAATATAAAATTCTGCACTCCTTCATAACTGCTGAATCACCCCATTATAGTGATTTCTTGAAGTGAACCATCTTCAATACATTCTGGCGAAATGTGCCTAGAGAGCGACATGCATTTTGTATTTGAAAATGCAATGCCTTTTCGGTCATTTGATTTTAATTTATAAAAATTAAGACATTGACACAATTTATCAAAGATTTGCTCGGACTATTTATGACACACTTGTATTTCAGGAGTGCACAGGAGCGCACTGTGAGACACCCAGGTCCTGCTGCCTTGGGGTATTTCTCATCTTTCACAGAGCACAGTGTGCAGGCAAACCCCGCTGAAGCTCTCCCGGGGCTGGATGATGCGGTGGTCCCTGTACTCTTCCACCTCGTACCTCTGCCGATGCCAACCCATCTGAGAGCCGAAAGCAGCAATCCCCTCCTTCTCCCCCACACCCACACCGTAAAATATGCTGCGCAGCAGAATCCCGGGCGAGAGGAGAGAGCAAATCTAATCCATCCACCAAAGGAATCAGCCAGGCAGACAATCAACGGCACTGCTTCCCATTGCCGGCGAGCAAAGTCTACGGATTTGTGTACTCCTGGGCAACTCTGCTGGCACAGGCGCTCTTTAGGTAATGTAAGACGTCTTAAAATTGAACAAATGTTCTTACTTAAAGGCCTCCTCCAGTGTTCAGCTTAAGCTGCATAAATCCGCAGTACTAGACTGGTTTGGCTATACAAAAGACTTGGCAAGGGATTACAAAGCTTCTAATGAACCTCCTGTCAGGGGTTAATTGGTTGGCTTTATTTTCCTCTTAAAGAATCAAAGGCCTTAAACTTAAAAAAAAACGAAGAAAAAAAGCTATAAAAAATTAAAAGCTATAAAATCTACATAACCCTTCTCCTTGACCCTGCATTTAGTAAGCTCTTAATGTCATAAATACTAACTCTGATATTCCAACACAGGTGAATAAACCATTGAAACATTTTGGAAGAGCAACCTGCAAACCGTACATGATATTTACTGCAAAATTTTAAAGCTAAATATACATTAAATAGAACTTGCAACATGGACACAGAAAAAGATTCGAATACCAGGGGAAGTATTTAAATTTAAACAGCATTTAATCAGAAATCTTGACTTGATTATTTGCCAAATTCAGTTGTGTATTAAGGAAAAAATAGGAAAAAAGATTCAGGCTGAAACTTGGATAAAATGTCTCAGCTGGGGAACACATTTCATAAACAATTTTGGAAGTATGGATCCGGTCTCATTAGTACCTAATTAGGACTAGTTATTTTGAAGAAATGAGCAAGGCACAAAAAACCCAAATTAGATATCGAGCAAAAATTAATGTCTGAAGATGCTTAATATATTTTTATTCCAAAGTTCCATAAAATATTTAATACTTAGACACGTTCATGCCTTTTGCAATGCTGTGCACCTCACAGCGCCTGGTTTGCTCCCAAGCAGAAAAGCAGATAATTCAAGGCAGACCGCAATAAATGCCGTACATTAGGGGCAGGGTTGAAGCCCTCATTTGACTTTTGGCATTCGGTTCTCCCCCTGTACCCGTAACAGCTCAGAGTGTCACCAGGTTAATTGTATCAGTGCTAACAAACGAGGTAGGAAAAGTCGCCTGCCCTGGCAGTGATTTGCTGATGGACTGGAAATGGTCTGAAAGTTATGTTACCCTTTGCTGGGTCAATAACCTCAACCGGTGAGATTTAATGGCAGGATCCGACAGCTCGGGTTGGGTCGCAGCCCTTTCCCACGAATCACAGTTTCTCACCGTATTCAAAGGGCTTTGGTTTTGCCAGAACCGGTTATTTAGCGCTCGCCACATAACGATTTGTGGTGGACACCCAAAACAGGCTGACGTGACAGCATCAGTCACGTCCCAGCTGGGCAGTGGCAGCTCTGGAAGGATTGCTTTGAAAACACTGACCCACACGAAGATGAAGGGTGGGCTCTGGAGAGGGAACCTCTGGCCAACGCAGTTCTCGCCCAAGTCACAACACCCCAAGGGATGCCAACCCAATCACCAAGGCCCACGTAGGCCACGTAGGCTTAACCCTCTGGTCTTTGTGAACCTGGAGGACATCAAACTCGGTGGGTCCGGTCATCACTCCCTTCATGCAGGGCCCACCGCGCGGTGTAAACACACGCCACTCTCGCGTATCATGAGACAATCTACAGGTCAGCTGTAGCCATTTTTGGAGCAGCGTGGATGTCTGGAAGGGCCTGCCAACCGAGAGCCATCACCACGGCAAGGACTCCCTTTCTCACCCAGCTGTGGACTATATTGCATCTGACATGATGAGCATCTCTTGAATCTACCTTTCAAATTTTCGGCAAACCATTTTCTCACTGTCCTTCACAAAGTTGACATTTTCGGCAGCATGATAGGAAAGATGTCATGTCGGCTGCTTTTCAAGTTGTTGTCACAGTGGTTAGCACCAGTTCTGTCATCTTTGCTTTCCTCACAATCCCCCATCTTGAGCCATGTCACAAATAATAATACTTCCAATGTTTTTGTCAAATTTCAAATACTATAACCCAGCTGCACATCTTTGGATTTACTAGTTACGTTAATCTTTGTTGCTCATCTTCCCAGAAGCTGAAGCATTAGGAACTCATTAATTAGTGACAAATGCAGGATATACATAGAACTGGAAAAACACTACCCAAAACCTTGCACTTCATTTATTAGCTCGATAATTTTGAAATCTAATTAAATATTCAAGTCAAATATACTTTGAAAATGTAATCTTTTTGAAGGAACATATTTATTTTCCCTTTTGCAAGAACACAAAGGGTATATAGCTTAGCATCGCTATAATTTGAGATTCACTTCTGTGCTCTAGACAATTGCAGTACGTGGCTGATGGGGCTGAAAAAAATCTCCAGGAGAAGCTCAAGTCGCACCAGCTCGTTCTGATTTTTATCGGCAATTTTTTTTTTCAGCAAAGGTCTCCAGCTCAACTTTGATATTTGCTATTTGATCTCATGGACAGAAGCACCGACTCTTCCAGCGAGCAGCGCTTCTGCAGCAAGCCTAGCTAAAATGCAGCTGCAGGAAATGCATGTTCTGACAGGCAATCCACATCCTTATTCCACTGAGGCAGTGATGGGGAATGAGAGGAGAGCAAAAGGGCGAAAAGAAAGTTCTGTATGTACACGGTATATACAGATGCATGAGGGACAAAATGGGTTTGGGTCTATGAATTCAGGTCAACAAACAACATAAACATCTCCATCTGTGTGGAGACACAATTTCATCCGATTCTCTATAGCTCCTGCTCACGAACACTTGAGGTGTATGGCAGAAGTTGTGGGCAGAGAGGGAAGCAGAAGGGCAAAAAGGGCAAGAAAAATAAATACGAAGTTTTTTAATTATAAGTAAACAAGTTTCAGGTCACTCCTGCTGCCGCAGATTCACTATGTGGGCTCTAACTAGAAAATTCCCACTGTAAATATTTCATATGAAAAGTTTTAAATGCCACTTTCCTAATCCCCCCTTGTTTTTAAGTTTTAAGTGACGAAAACAACATCATCAACAAAGAAGGTGGTGAAATTTTAAAAAAGGGTTGCAACTTAAACAGCAAAAATTATAGTCCTTGTTTAGCTTAGATGGTTTGTGCAAATTCTGGGGTTAATTATAAATTATAATTAGGACCTGTGATCCTAAGGCCACTGCTTTATTCTACAAACCCCGCCTCCCCCCATGCCCTTTTCTAATTATACCCGGTGCCCCCAGGGCTAGTTATGCTGCTAAAACAAATATATCAAAATGATTTTTTAACAAAGACTAATATATGAAGCAATAGCATGCATTTGTATACAATTATACAGTATAGCTCCAGTGGGTTAATCTCTTTGACATAAGCCTGTATGAAATACTATGGCGGCTTATAAATGAAAAGACATATCATCTTTTACACCTTTTATGTTTAACTTGTCTACACTTTTTTTACTGGGGAAAATATTGCTTACACGTAGCAAACAGATCTTTGCACGCACTGTGAGCCCTGGCATGCAGAGCCAAGGAAAAAAAAACAATGTCAAAAACTGATGCAAATAATTTGATTTTTTAAGTAACAACTCAAATATAAAACACGTGCTGCCTTCAGCTCCCTTGCCGGTTGCCAGGTGCAGCACATATGAGCTATACAGTAAACATCGATGATTAGTGCCTTGGACGGCATGTGTCAGGATAGGCTTTCAAAGGATCCCTCGCAGGAAGGCTTGCCTGTGCGAAGTCCCACCGGTTGCATGGGGACTGGCTCTGGGGCTGTGGGCAGGATCACAGCTGCCTGCCTGCTGCCTCCTCCATCTCCCCCAGCAAATCTGACCTGAAAGAGCCCACCTGTTCAGACCCCTTGAAAAAAAGCTTATTCAGCAAACATTGATTTTCCCCGACTCCCCTTTCTTCTGGGAATTCACACCGTGTGCGAAATGTCGGTCGCAAGCTCTTTGTTCAGCCCAGCCCTCCGCCCGCTCTCCTGGGCGCTGCCCCTGCGATACTGCAGAGCATGGGAGCCATTTCATCCTC